CCGTGATTGTGCGGAAGCCTGTAGGTGAAACAAAGAGGCGGCGGGAGCTAAGCAGATTCGGGAGGGCGAGAGAGAGGAAGAGAGGGGGGCAGGGGCGGGGGCGGGCGGGCGGGTGGGTGGGTGTTGGGGGGGGAGGGGAGGTGAAAAGTGCGCAGGGCGAACGCGAGGGATCTCATCACTGCCCCGGCGCCCACGCCTCGATCTTCTTCGGCAGCAGCGGGTTCGACAGGTCCTCTCCGTGGCCTAGGCAGCCGTGTTCGCCCTTGCCCCAGGCGAAGGTGGCGCCGTCAGTGGTGATAGCGATGCTGTGGGTGCTTGCAGCGAACACAGCGACGACGCGCTGGCCAGCCAAGGCCTCGATCTTCTTGGGCTGCCACTGGGCCTGCCCGTCGCCGTGGCCCAACTGACCTTGGCGTCCGTAGCCCCAGCTCCAGACGGCGCCGCCGGCGGTGATGGCGAGGCTGTGACTCACTCCAGCCGACACAGCGACGACGCGCTGCCCAGCAAAGGCTTCGACCTTCTTCGGCAGGAGCTGAGGCTGCTCGTCGCCGTGGCCCAGCCGGCCCCCGCCTCCAAAGCCCCAGCTCCAGACGGCGCCGTCGGCGGTGATGGCGAGGTTGTGGCCGTACCCAGCCGACGCAGCGACGACGTGCTGGTCAGCGAAGGCCTCGATCTTCTTGGGCAGCAGCTGGTTCTGCTCGTCGCCGTGGCCCAGCTTGCCCCCACCTCCACCGCCCCAGCTCCAGACGGCGCCGTCGGCGGCGAGGGCGAGGCTGTGCTCACGTCCCGCCGACACAGCGACGACGCGCTGGTCAGCAAAGGCCTCGATCTTCTTGGGCAGCAGCTGGTCCTGCTCGTCGCCGTGGCCCAGCTCGCCAAAGGCTCCCCAGCCCCAGCTCCAGGCGGCGCTGTCGGCAGTGATGGCGAGGCTGTGGCTACCTCCTGCCGACACGGCGACGACGCGCTGGCCAGCCAACGCCTCGACCTTCTTCGGCTGCCACTGCTCCTCCTCGTCGCCGTGGCCCAACTGGCCGTGTTCTCCCTTGCCCCAGCTCCAGAGGGCACCGCCGGCGGTGAGGGCGAGGCTGTGGTACACAGCCGACACGCTCACGGCGCGCTCACCCAGCGTCGACGGGAGGCGGGTCGGCGTGTTGAGCCGCGTCACGCCCTCGCCGTGCCCGAGCAGGGCTGGCGCGTAGAGCGGCGCTGAGCCGCACGACGAGAGCCGCCCCTCGCCGTCGATGAAGAGACTGTGCAGAGCGCTTCCCGCCGCCCTCGCCGGCGGGTTGGACTCGCAAAGCAACGCTGCGAAGCACAGCCACCGCACGGCGCAGCCCTCGCCCTCTGGCTGCGCCGGCAGCTCGAAGCCGCGCTCTTGCGCCCGCAAGCGAATGCCCTCCACCGCAAGCGAGGCGTGGAAGAGCAGCGAGACGGCCGCGACGCGGGCGATGTCGACGGGGTCGCAGCGAGAGACGAAGCGCACGAGGAGCTCCGTGGGGAGGTCGAGCAGGCGGGCGGGCGGCGGCTTGTCGGGCGAGGGAGCGGCGGTGGCGGCGGCGAGGCGGCGCGAGCGGCGGCGCGGCGGGGTGGACATCGCGAGAAAAGAATTTTGAGCACGGATAATAAGTTTTTTTTCAAGGGTGCCCAGCCCTCTCCGCGCGGCGATGCGCCCTCCCCCCTCGCTTTTGCAAAATCCTGCAAAGGTGGGGACGTGTCTGTCCTCGACCCAGCCCTAGCTTGGGATGTCCGTTGTATTTATTTATTTATTTCAAGGGTTGCCCGGCCGGGTTGCTGCGCAAATCTCGCGCTGCGCTAGGCTCAGAGCGAGTTCGCGCTGCGCTAGGCTCAGACGGGCGTGCGTGCGCGGGCCGCCGGGGTGACGGCGGGTGAGGACCCCACCGCCTCCTTCCTCGGGCTCGGCAGCTTGTCGGGCTCTACCACTACCACTACCTCAGCCCTCAGCCGAAGCTGGGGCCGGTCCCGTAGGCCGTCCGTAGCCGAGAGAGCCCCCGCGTCCCGATGAATGGTATTGGTCGTCGAACGGCGGACGGGCGCGGGCGGCGCGGGGGGTGGCGCGTGGCGGGGCGAGACGGCGCAGCATTCCCAGCCCCTTTGCCAAAGGTCCCTGTTTTGAGGGCATTAGTAGAACGGAGAGAGATCCCTTTTGGTCCTCCTTTGAAGCTGTTTACACACGACCTCACGCTGGAAGTGGCGAATCGATGCGAGCGCGCCGCGTGCTCCACGCGCGGCGCGCTCGTATCGACTTGGAGTCCAATGCGCGCAGCGGGTAGCACCTCGGGAGCTCGCTCTACCCGGGATGCGGAGAACTGCCCACAGGAGCGAGAATCTATCAGCCACGTCTGTCGTCTGGCGCAAAAGGCCGCGCAGTCGTCCGCACCTGCGGAGGCCGCCGCAACTGGCTAA